ACCAGGTTACTCTCCCGCCTTTGCTGAGCTTGGATAGCTCCCCTGTCCCCTACGAGGTTTGGATTGGGTGATTCCTCTGTTTCACCAGGGATTTCCTGTCTTCTCAAGGGCTCACCCATCTTGGCTTAGAAAAAAGAGAAATACTGACTGGGGGAGCAGGACCCCTTTATGCCAGGTGGTACCTGCAGACGCATCCTCCGCCTGGTGCATGTAAGGGGCCACCGCACTGTGGGAGCCTGTCCCCTACACGGGACCATGCGCCCATGTCCCAGACAGCATATCTGGACTGTGCGGGTCCACTGCCTCTCAAGCAGCCAACCACGAGCAGAGATGGAACGACAAACCATGAACCTTTTTGTTGTTGTTGTTGTTGTTGTTGTTTTTCAGGTTTTAAAGAACCAACTACTAAACCACTTTTGCCTTAGAAAGACACCAAATTTGGAAGCAAGAGGACGTGACTTCCAGCCCTCCCCCTGCCCCCCATCTGTCCATGTTAGCCTGGACAGCCTCTCAGCCTGTTTCCTCACCTGCAACTCATAGATAACACTCGTCATCCTACCTCGCAGGGCTGGTAACGGAATGTTCCAGATGGAAGATGCTCCGAGTGCACACTGTGCACAAGCCCATTTGCGGTACTAATATTGATGAGAACTCCTGTGTAGTGAGCACCCACTGGGCACCTGCCATTCTGCCAAGAACTCTGCGTGTTTTATCGCACAAAACCCTCGACACAGCCCTGAGACATCACAGGTACATAAATATCTCCCCTTAACACAGAAGACCACCTCTTCACACGGTGAGGCCTTTCCCGTGGACCCACAGCCAGGAAGACAAGGACTGGGACCCAGGAGCCCCCATGCCTAACACTGCGCCGCACTGCTCCCCACTGAGGAATCAATGAATGGACTCCCTTACTGAACAGGTAGGGAAACTGAGGCTCCAAGAGGAGAAATGATTTGTCCGTGTCAATCTGGACAAAGTCACCAGACCCGAAACCATGTCCTGTTCCCAGGCCAAGATCCTTTGGCTGTTTGGACTTTCTCGAGAAGAAATGCTACTCAGATCAGCCCTTCTGCCGTGCAGTCTCAGCGCTGATGTGGCCATCTGGTTTACCCTGGCTCTCCCTTCACATCAGGTGATCTACCCCACTGTCTGCAAATCTCACCTTTCCTGGACTCTCCCTTTCTTAGTATACATGCCACCCGAGTGACACGCTCAGTGCTGTAAATGAGGGTGTCATAGTGTGTTCTCAGGTCTTACTGGAAGTGCCGCTGTTAAAAAGTCTAGTAAACAGCCAGCCCAGTGAGCGCACGTCAGCAGCTCTGCTCCAGGGCTCTGATGTCAGCAAAGGCAGGGCCCAGGCCTCGGGCCAGAGCCCTTTCCAGCTGCCATCCTGCCACCGGGCCAGCCTCGCCTGCCCACATCTGCAGGATGAGATTGGCCAGCACCTCACAGCACAGACCTGCGGGCTTCTGGAGCTTCCAGATTTCCTGGGGAAAGCAGATTCATGCTCGAAATTGGGACCTGGGAGTCATTCCCCTTGAGAAACGACATTTGGCTGAGTGGGAAAAGTGGGCCAGAACATGGGTACTGATCGGATCTCTGAGACCCGAAACTGAAATTGCAAGGAGTGGTAATAAATAAAATGCTAAAAGCATTTATTTTGTGGCTGGGTGATCCAGCTCTGAGGTCTACGCTGTCCCATTTGGGGTCTCCTTGCCAATTCTTGACGAAGGAGAACAGTTTGCTCATAAAATCATAGTTCAACACAAGTTCATAGCAGGCTAAATAATTTATTGGAAGAAAGATGTGAAATTTCCTCATTAGAAATGTGAGGCTGGGGCTCAAACTGGCTTTTTAAAAAATCACAATAAGAGGGGAGCCTGGGTGGCTCAGTTGGTTAAGCATCTGCATTTGGCTCAGGTAATGATCCCAGGGTCCTGGGGTGGGTGGCTCCCTGCTCAGTGGGGAGCCTGCTTCTCCCTCTCGCTCTGCCCCTCCCCCTTGCTTGTGCGCGCTCTCTCTCTCTCTCTCACAAAAATAAACAAAATCTTTTTAAAAATCAAATCAAATGGGATGCCTGAGTGGCTCAGTCGGTTAAGCGTCTGCCTTCAGCTCAGGTCATGATCCCAGGGTCCTGGGATCGAGTCCCGCATCGGGCTCCCTGCTCCGCGGGGAGCCTGCTTCTCCCTCTGCCTCTGCCTCTCTCTCTCTCTCTATCTCTCAGGAATAAATAAATAAAATCTTTAAAAAAAAATCAAATCAAATTAAATCACAGTAAGAAAGAAAATGAGGGGACTAAGCCATGAAGACTATTAACAGTCTGAATAGACTGAAAGGAGGCTTTTCCCCTTGATCTGAAAGGAGGCTTTTCCCCTTGATCTGAAAGGAGGCTTTTCCCCTTGATCTGAAAGGAGGCTTTTCCCCTTGATCTGAAAGTTTACCATCCTTCAGCCCTGCAGAGGACACTGCTGTTGGGAAGCCATAAAAGTGGGTGTAGTGGTAAGTTCTGAATCCAACTGTTAATAATAACAGAAGTAATCAAAACAGCTACTATTTATGTAGCCTTAATCCACTAAAACGTCAGCTCTTGGAGGCAAGAACTTTGTCTTGTTCCTGCAAGACAAAGTCCAGAGTAGTCCTTGGCAGGTAGCAGCTCCATGTCTATGGCTTGGAGGGATTCGTGCGGGCATGAATCCCTATGTACCAGACACTGTACTGGGCACTGCCCTTGTATTATTAATGCTCATTCCACCTTATGAAGCAGGTCTAATCCCCATTCACAGCTCAGAGCACTAGGCTGACACACATTTCCTTCTTGCACTTAATCTTTTTTTTTTTTTTAAGATTTTATTTCTTTATTTGACAGAGAGAAAGAGCACAAGCAGGGGGAGTGGCAGGCAGAGGCAGAGAGAGAGAAGCAGGGCCAGGGAGCCTGATGCGGGACTCGATCCCAGAACCCTGGGATCATGACCTGAGCTGAAGGCAGACGCTTAACCGACTGAGCCACCCAGGCGCCCTCTTGCACTTAATCTTAATGGTCACGAGAATATCCTGGAAGAGCCTGGGCTTCCCCGATGCCAGCCAGTCCTGTGGCTGGCGCCGCAGCGAGTCAAGTTTTAGGATCACAGGGTGCTTGCTGAATGATTCTTCTTCATGCCTGTTCTTTTGTTTTGCGAGTTCGGGGTGTCCCTGTCCACTAAAGTGCTTTGGAATGTGTGGTTCCGGTCTCCAAGGGGCTTGAGCTCCAGCTCCTTCCAATGCCTCCCACCCTGAGGACCGAGGCAGTCCCAGGCTCAACAGAACCGACAATAAGGAATCCTATGTGTGAGTCCTGCCACACAGAGCTTTCCCGAAGCAAGCCCTCCCTCCTTATGAAAAGCATATGTGCTGCCGAAGCGAGCACTTTATGAAAAGCAGTGACACTTGTCACTCACACCCACCTGGGCCTGGCCCTTTATTTGCATTGAGCAAGGCAGGGAGGAGTGTGGTATCCAAACAATTTAATGGTGTCACCTGGCTTTGGCTGTCTGTGACTTCGGTACGTAACTACTTTCGTGTCAGAAGGCCTTCCCTTTTGAACATTTGCCTCTACGGAGCCAGACCCGCGCCTTGGGGTCCCCGCATTCATTGGGGTCACTAAGAAGGGACCACTGACCTTGAGAATGCCACAGGCCATCTCCAATATAAGTGAGGCCACCCACCTCCCTGGCCCCACACCTGGCCAACTTTGGTAGAGAAGGGGCCATCCATGCTAAATGTAATGGTTTTCAGACCCTGAGCCAGGAAGCCGCCACAGGGCTCCCTTCCCTCCTCCCAAAGCTCTTAGGGTACAAAAGGCAACCCCACCAACCGGCCTCACCAATCCCAGGCAGAGCCCAGCCCTGGGCCTGACCAGTCACCAAGGGCACCTGGCTGGGATTTCAGGAAGAAGCCAGCTTCCAACGTCGACTTCCAATGGCTGTGAATCACCCCATCTGATTCAGATGCAGGCTTGCAGGGACTTAGAGATAGAGAGCGGGTTGCTTCAGAGCAACCCCCGATTGCCTCAGCGGGTAATTTACCTCTGGGAGTTTCAGGTGCCAGAGAGAACAATGCATTGCCTATAAAGTCTTTAAACCCAGCCAGCAGCAGGCTGACCTTGGCTGGCAGTGCCCAGTGAAAGCCGGGAGGACTCCTGGGGTGCCATGCCTCCCCCATGCAACCCTCCTCCATACATGAGAAGGGTCTTCAAGTCGCTACTTGGTCCCCGCCCACTGCCCTGGAGAAGTGGGCACCTGCCTTGATGCTCCTCACCAGGCCTCTCCATGTCCCAGAGACTTTTACTGCCACCAGATTCCTCCTGCCCTGGGTGACAATCCACCTCCTCACAACTCCAGCCACCCTCCAGGTGCACAGGGCAGAAGCCAAGTCCCTTGGTCAGGCGATGTTCCTTCACATTTGTGAAGCTCTTTCTGTCTTCCCTGGGCTTCCTAACACATCATGGTTCTGGAACACTCCACCATCCTGTCCATTCTCCTCCAGCCTTGCTCTTCTTGGTGGCCTTGTTCTCAAAACATGGCAGCCATTCCAGCGGTGGTCTCACCAGTGTCACCTCCCTTGTTTCGGCCACCATACTCCTATTATTAATATCATCGAAAATCACATTGGCTCTCATGGAGGCTCAACCAAACGGAGCCTCATGATGAGATTTATTTATAGTCGACCAAGACCCTTTTAGAAATGGCACTGTCTGGCTTCCTCTTCCCTAGCTGGTAGCTGCTCTGTTGGGTTTGGGAGCTAAATGTCAGACTTTGCATTTGTTCCTCTTATATTTCTTCTTTTAATTTGGCCTGTCGCTCCTTCCCCATCATTCCTGGTCATTTTCTGTCATTTGCAAACCTGTTACAAAGGCCTTCTGTGGAGTGACCCAGAGTATTATTTAAAAAGCAGTTTGAGTTACAGATGGACCAAACCAGGTTAGCCCACAGCTTGCTTTTCTCTGCCTTTTTCAAAAGGTAATATGAGGCTGCTTGTTCATTGCTTTGCTAAAATGCCTGAAAATGTTAGAGCCAGAGGAGATGTTAGAGACCACGTGGTTGAAGCCCTTCACTTTACAGATGAAGAAACTGAGGCCAGGTGAGGCAAAGGGATGCTGAGTCCATGCAGAGCCAAGCATCCTGACCCAGGCATCCTTTGGTCACGTGCTCAGCAAGGAAATGATGGGCACACTGCACCAACTCTACTGGAAGCTTCCAACAGTGGACAGCATAACGCCTGCCCTTGTTGGGGAGAGGCTAGGCAGGCCGGTAAAGCAAGACCACTTAAAAGCCACATTGGCCCGGCCGCTGATGAACTATAAACAACCTGCGCTCCCGGCCCTAGGGCGGAATATACCCCAGCGGTGAAAAGAAAGGAAGCACTGACATGTGGACACAGATGAATCTTGACCGCGTTAGGCTGAGTGACGGAAAGCTATCACAGAAGACCACATATGGCCTCCTTGCATTCAGGCGAGTTGTCCAGAACAGGCAGATCCATATGGAGAGAAGCAGTGGGTGGTTTCCAGCGCCTGGGTCTGCAGGGGTGGTGGCGAGGGACTGCCAGGGGGCCCTGCATTTCTTGGGGAACATAATGAAAATGTTCTGGAATTAGTGGTGATGGCTACACACGTTTGTGACTACACTCCCAACCACTGAATTGTACATCTCTCAGTGGTTTAAACGGTGACTTTTATGGTATGTGAACTCTGTGTTTTTCAAGGCCAGGGGGACCCTTCCTCTCAGGGACAGTGGGAAAGAAAGGAAGTGCCCAAGAGGGAACCCTCTCTCTGTTCCCACGCCGGTGAGGAGGGCCACCAGGGCGGGGACTTCTCACAGCAAGGGCCGGGGTCCTCCCTGCAGCCCCATCTCCGTGCCTTTGGTGTGAAGAGGGACAGGATGCGGTCACCTGCTGTGCACCCTCGCCCCCTTCTGCCCCCCCCACCCCCGCGCACCCAGGCGCTGCTCTACTCCCACCCCCTGCCCCACCCCCTGCCCACACACGGGCTTCCCGCCGCGGGTCCCTGGGTAGGCAGTGCGCGGGGCCAGCGGGCTGCGGGGCGAAGCCCACCTACCCAGAGCGGGGTAGGGGTCCGCGTTTACACCAGCCGACCCCCGTCTGGGCGCAGGGCGTAGCCGGATGAAGGCGGGTACAAATCAGCACCGAGAAGCACAGAAGCAGCACTCTGGGCTTGTTTAAAAAAAAAAACAAACGACAGGCGCCTGGGTGGCTCCGTCGTTAAGCGTCTGCCTTTGGCTCAGGTCACGATCCCAGGGTCCTGGAATCGCGCCCCGCGTTGGGCTCCCTGCTCAGCGGGAGGCCTGCTTCTCCCTCTCCCACTCCCCCTGCTTGTGTTCCTGCTCTCGCTTTGTCTCTGTCAAATAAATAAATAAAATCTTAAAAAAAAAAAGTTGGAATCCCTCTGTCAGTTGGAAGTGAATTCCTTTCGTGCTGGCTTGACTGATTCCGCGTGGGCGGCGCAGCTCCTGGAAACCTGCAGGCCCAACGAGGCGGTGTTCCCAGAACAAAAGTTCACGGCTGCTGCCCCCCAGGCCGCTCCCCCCCCGCCCCGCCCCCAGGGCTCCGGCCCCTCCCTCTGCGGGCTTCTCTCCCCTCCCGGGACCGCGCGCTCCCCCCACCCACCCCCAGGGCTCCGGCCCCTCCCTCTGCGGGCCTCCCTCTGCGGGCTTCTCTCCCCTCCCGGGACCGCGCGCCCCCCCCCCCGCCCCTAGGGCTCCGGCCCCTCCCTTTGCGAGCTTCTCTCCCCTCCCGGGACGCCATCCGCAGCCCCCACCCACCCCCCCACCCCCGGCCCCAGGGCTCCGGCCCCTCCCTCTGCGGGCTTCTCTCCCCTCCCGGGACCGCGCCCCCCCCCGCCCCCACCCCACCCCCCCGGCCCCAGGGCTCCGGCCCCTCCCTCTGCGGGCTTCTCTCCCCTCCCGGGACCGCGCGCCCCCCCCCCCCGCCCCCAGGGCTCCGGCCCCTCCCTTTGCGAGCTTCTCTCCCCTCCCGGGACGCCATCCGCAGCCCCCACCCACCCCCCCACCCCCGGCCCCAGGGCTCCGGCCCCTCCCTCTGCGGGCTTCTCTCCCCTCCCGGGACCGCGCCCCCCCCCGCCCCCACCCCACCCCCCCGGCCCCAGGGCTCCGGCCCCTCCCTCTGCGGGCTTCTCTCCCCTCCCGGGACCGCGCGCCCCCCCCCCCCCGCCCCCAGGGCTCCGGCCCCTCCCTTTGCGAGCTTCTCTCCCCTCCCGGGACGCCATCCGCAGCCCCCACCCACCCCCCCACCCCCGGCCCCAGGGCTCCGGCCCCTCCCTCTGCGGGCTTCTCTCCCCTCCCGGGACCGCGCCCCCCCCCCGCCCCCACCCCACCCCCCCGGCCCCAGGGCTCCGGCCCCTCCCTCTGCGGGCTTCTCTCCCCTCCCGGGACCGCGCGCCCCCCCCCCCCCGCCCCCAGGGCTCCGGCCCCTCCCTCTGCGGGCTTCCCTCCCTCTGCGGGCTTCTCTCCCCTCCCGGGACCGCGCTCCGCAACCCCTGCACCGCGGCGCGAGCCACATCCGCACGGCGCCCCCGCGCCACACACAGCACACATCACACAACACCTGTCACACTCTCTCTCTCTCCCTCCCCACTGCATTTTATCCTGAGTGAATGAGAGGAGTTATTTAACTTATTCGAGCCAGTCAGGCTTCCAGAAAAAAAGGAAAACACGAAGGCCCACACTCTTACCAGAAAGACTAGGATGCATGGTCTTGTCCTTCTTAGCAAAATGAGGACCAACTTTTACGGAGCACTGGTGTCTTCAAAGAGCTTCACAAACATTAACTAATTAAGCTGCCGCCCCCCCCCCCCCACCAGCTGCTGAGGTCTGTGTAAAGCACGGTTGTCTGTGGTACAGATGAAGGAAGGAAGGAAGGGAAATGGCCGGCCCTGAGGCACAGGGCGAATCCAAAATGGGACAACAGCCCCAGAGCTCAGCTCCAGGTAGACCAGCCAACACGCTGACCTCTCTCTGCGAAGGGAGTCAAATTAGGACAGAAGGTGGGAACCAACTTTCCAGGTGCTAAAGGGTTAAGAAAGGAGGAAGGGTGGCTGGCGGCTGGTGGCTGGTGACATGAGGTCACCTCCAGCTGACATCCTGCCCTCACAGGGGGCACAGTCCGATGGCTTCCTGCCTGTCACCCAAGACGGCCAAGCTGAATAGGCCAGGTTGGGCACAGGCGGCTGTGAGGCCAGGATGGGCCCAAACTGCCAGTGTCCACGGGGCCGGGGCAGCCACCACTTCTGCTCTCTTCACCCGGTGCTGGCAGATTCAGGCCTCAGAGAGGCTCATGGACTTGGTTCATTCATTTCTCATTTATGGGAGTGATTCATTATTGCCACATCAACGCACCTCACTCCCGGGCAAGAGTTTTCCAACACATCGCACTGACAAATCTTTCTGTATCTGAGAGAAAGTGCATACACTGTGTGAATTCACCAGTGGGATGGAAATTCTTTCTCAAGTGAAAGAGTTTCGAAGACCTGTATTTCCGTGTGGGCTTTTTCTGGAAGGCTGACCCTGGGCAGAATCTCTCCCCCCATTCAAACCCCTCCATAGAAGCAAGCATCCTTCCTCTCTGGGAAGGAGTCATGCACAGCAAGGCTTAACTTCAAAAGACCTGGTCCTTGGACCTGGAAAGAAGTGCTAGGCTCATTGTCTTATCATGGAAAATAACATTACTTAGTGGAGGCACCTTCCTCCATCTTGGCCCCATCACTGCCTAGATCCACCCATCTAGGAAGAGGTTTGAAAGAGGAACTGCCCAACTCAAGACCAAGGACAACAAAAACAACACTGGCTTCTTTATTCATAGCTTGGGCTAACTGCTTGTCTTAGGTCTCAGTGATTATTTTGGCACATAATATGAAGCACAGAGAAATACATTCACCTTTTTTTGTGTGTGAGGGCATTAAAGAGAAGATAAATCTGAAGGCAAAAGAGACACAGAAACAGAAGCACCTAGATACACCTTATAGAAAAACTTCAGAAGAGAAAATGAGAATTATCTAGGACTTTGTTCTGAGCCCTTCATGGGAAATCTTACCCATTTTTCATTTTGCTTAAACTGGGATTTTTTAATGAAAGCCATTTCTAAAATGCTGCTGTGGACATTTTTGTAGTAGGCATGAACTCAGGGCAAATGTGTCATCTCAAAAATACAGTTTAACCAGGTGAGTTATATTTAGGTCAAAGTGATTTGAAATGCTAGTTTAAATTAACTTTGATAGTCTCTTGCTAGGAACAATGTGAACACGTATCTGTACGAGGTTAAAAGGTACATGCTGGGTGTTCTTAATCAGTAGCTGTTGGTAATGGTATCAAGAGTTCAAATTCTGTGTCTGCTATTTACTCACTGAATGACCCCAGGCTAATTCACCCCTTCTAGACTCAGTGTTCCCATCTCTAAACAAAGAATACTTACCCCTCACAGGCTGTTATAAGACTTCAATGAGATGATGTCTACAAAACTCTAGTTCATAGGAAGCATTTCTTTGCCCCTGGATGTTTTTTTCCATAATTAATTTTATGCACCTTAGAAAATCAAATGATGACAAACTAATTCTAAAATTTATAGGTAGAGGCAAAAGACCCAGAATAGGCAACACAATATTGAAAGAGAACGAAGCCAGAGGACAGGTACGACCCAACTTCCAATACTTACTGCAAAGCTGCGGTGATCAAGACAGTGTGTTATTGGTGAAAGAATAGACAAACAGATCAATGGAACAGAACAGAGAGCCCAGAAATAGAGTCAACTGATCTTTGACAAAGGAGCAAAGGTGGTACAATGGAGCAGAGATAGTCTTCTCAACAAATGGTGTTGGAACAACTGGACATCCACATGCAAGAAATGAATCTAGACACAGACCTTACAGCCTTCACAAAAATTAGCTCACACTGGATCATAGACCTAAATATAAACTGCAAAACTATAAAACTCCTAGAAGATAACACAGAACACCTACATGACCTTGGGTATGGTGATGACTTTTTAGATACAACACAAAAGGCGTGATCCATGAAAGAAATCATTGCTAAGCTGAGCTTCATTAAAATTAAAAACTTCTGCTATGTGAAAGACAATGTCAAGAGAATGAGAAGACCAGCCACAACTGGGAGAAAATATCTGCGAAAGACCCATCTTATAAAGGACTGTTATCCAAAATATACAAAGAACTCAAGAACAAGCAAACAACCCAACTAAAAAATTGGCCAAAGAGCTTAACAGACACCTCACCAAAGAAGATATACAGAGAGGAAGTATGAAAGCATGTTGCATATCCTATGTCATCGAGGAAATGGAAGTCAAAACAATGAGACACCAGTATATACCTATTAGAATGGCCAAAATCTGGAACACTGACCACGCCAAATGCTGGTGAGGAGTGAAGCAATAGGAACTTTCATTCATTGCTGGTGGGAATGTAAAATGGTACAGCTACTTTGGAAGGCGGTTTGGCCGTTTCTTATGAAATTGAACATACTCTTACCACAATTCAGTAAATCACACTTTTTGGTGTTTACCCAAAGAAGTCGAAAAACTTAGGTCCACACAAAAACTGTCCACGGTTACAGTGACTTTATTCATAAAGAACAAAACTAGGAAACAACCAACATGTCTTTCGGTGGGTGACTGGATAAAGAAACTGTGGTACCTCCAGACAATGGAATATCATCAATCACTAAAAAGAAATCATCTATCAAGTCTTTAAGAGATCTGGAGGAACCTTGAATGCATGTTACTAAATTAAAGAAGCCAATCTGCAAAGCCTTTACACTGTACGTCTCCAACTGTTTAGCATTCTAGAAAAGGTAAAACTGTGGAGACAGTAAAAAAAAAATAACGGTTTCCAGGGGTTGAGGGAAGGGGATACATAAGCAGAGTGCACAGGGTTTTTAGGGCATCCCCTCCATGGTGAGTATGTCATTACCTTGTGTTATTTATTGCACTTGGCTTTCTTGCACTTTGCAGATGCTGCATTTTTTACAAAGTGAGGGTTCAAGCCTTCAGTGGGGGGAGTCACTGCAGATGGGGTGGAAACAGAGAGCTAGAATCAGCCGTGGAGCCTGAAGATGGGACTGAGTTGCTGCAATCTCGTGATAAAACTTGACCGGATGAGGAATTGCTTCTTACGGATGAGCGAAGACAGTGGTTTCCTGAGATGGAATTGACCGTTGGTGGGAAATACTGTGAAGTCTGTTGAAATGGCAACAAAAAATTTAGAATATCATATAAACCTAGTTGATAAAACAGCCACGGGGTTTGAGAGGATTGGCCCCAATTCTGAAAGAAGCTCAACTGTGGGTACAATGCTATCAAACAGGGTCACGTGCCAAAGAAATCATTCATGAAAGGAAGAGTCAATCGATGCATCGGGACTTCATTGTTGTCTTATTTTAAGAAATTGCCACCGCAATCCCAGCCTTCAGCAACCACCACCCTGATCAGTCAGCAGCCCTCCAAATCAGGGCAAGAGGTTTCAACCAGCAAAAAGTTATAACCTGCTGAACGCTCAGATGATGGTTAGCATTCTTTAGCAATAAAACATCTTTTTAATTAAGATGTGTACATTGTTTTTTAGACATAATGTTATTGCATACTTAGATTACAGTATAGTGTAAATGTAACCTTTATAAGCACTGGATATCCAAAAAATTCATTTGACTCATTTTATTGCGATATTCACTTTACTGCAATATTCACCTTTTTGCAGTGGTCTGGAACTGGACATGCAATATCTCCAAGGTATGCCTGTATACATTTGTCAAAATCCATAGAGTATGCAACACCAAGAGGGAGTTGTAATGTGAACTATGGACTCTGGGTGATTATGTCAATGTAGGTCCATCGATTGTAACAAATGTCCACTCATGTTGATAAAGGAAGTGGCTGTGCGTGTCGGGAGTGGGGGTAGGAGGTGTATGGGAAATCTCTGTATCTTCCCTTCAGTTTTCCTGGGAACACAAAAATGCTTTAAAAACTAAAGTCTTAATTTAAAAAAAATCAAATGATGATTTGGTTATTTTACTTAGTGGAGCTAATCCCAAGGATGTCTATAAGGTTATTGAAATTTGTATTTTTGTTTCCTAGATCTTTTCATTAGAAATAAGGATTGATAACAGATGTTGACTACACTTATGGTGGTGAGCATTGCTAATGTATAGACTTGTGGAATCACTGTGTTATACATCTGAATCTAATATAACAGTGTATGTTGATTATACTTCAATAATAATTTTTTTTAAAGATTTTATTTATTTATTTGACAGAGAGAGACACAGCGAGAGAAGGAACACAAGCAGAGGGAGTGGGAGAGGGAGAAGCAGGCTTCCCGTGGAGCAGGGAGCCCGATGTGGGGCTCGATCCCAGGACCCTGGGATCATGACCTGAGCCAAAGGCAGATGCTTAACGACTGAGCCACCCAGGCGCCCTTCAATAATAATTTTTTTAAAAAGAAATAAGGATTGATGAAAGAAAAAGAGGAGGTTAGGGAAGGAAGGAAGGAAGGAAGGAAGAGGGAGGGAGGGGGGAGAAGATGATGAGCCTATGTTCAGCAAATAAGCATGAGTCCTTAAACTAGAGCTAACCCTACTTCATCCTAGCCTGTTCATCGACCCGTAAATCAGAAAGAAAGGAAAGGCCTTCCCCGCTGTTTGTTTCCTCACTCACTTGTGCTTGCAGACACTTCCCCTGGACAAGCCATGGCCTGCTGCACCCATTTATGAAGCTCTTCTTGTTCTGGAAACACTACACTGAATAAATACTCCTGGAATTAAAAATATGTAAAAGCACCCAAATAGTAAAAATAACTAAAGAAAGAACTGCATTATACACAGTAAGAATTAGCTCAGTAAATATTTGTGGAATGAATTCTAGCCCTGAATGACATCTTTGGGCATAATGTACTCCACTTTCCGTGGGGCTGGCTGCCGAACTCTGACCCCATGTCAACTTTTTGTGTTCCTGTTGTCACTGCACGGACAGGAACTGCCATTTCACGTCACCTGCCTTCCAGGGTCTAGAGTGCATGTTGCAGACCACGTCCATCACAGCCTCTGCTGAAAAGGTATATTCCAGACCACTCCAAATGCCAAAGCCAGAGTTCTGAACAGATGCGCGCGTTGTAACTGACTTCTTCGGGAGGGAGGGGGAGACAGACGGGCTTCTAGAGAGGGGAGCGAGTGGGAGCAGGTGGGATTCCAGAGCCAGCTTGGGGGTAGGTAGAGCGGGGGTGG